CCTCCCAAGTAGCTGGGACTACAGGCTCCCGCCACAATGCCTGGCCATTTTTTGGTTGCAGCCATCATTGTTGTTTGGTGGGCCCGGGCTGGGGATTCGAACCCGCCACCTTAGGTCTATGTGGCTGGCACCTTAGCCACTTGAGCCACAGGAACCAAGCCTCTTTTTGTTTTTTTAAGACAGAGTGTCACTACTCTCAGTAGAGTGCAGTGGTATCACAGCTCACAGCAACCTCAAACTCTTGAGCTTAAGCAATCCTCTTGCCTCAGCCTCCCAAGTAGATGGGACTACAGGCACTCACCACAATACCCAGTTATTCTGTTTGTTTGTTTGTTTGTTTAGCAGATCCAGGCCAGATTCAAACCTACCAGCCCTAGAGCATGTGGCTGGCACCTAACCACTGAGCTATGGGAGCCCAACCTGAATTCTTTAAATATGAATAAACTGAATACTATGCAAGATAACTCAAGCACAGTTCTTATTAAGACCATAATATTTATATGGAGCTTCTTTTAGACAGCAGTGGTGTCATCATAGTTCACTGCAATTTCACACTCCCAGGCTCTAGCAGGCTTCCTGCCTCAGCCTCCTGACTAGCTGGGATTACACTTGAAGAACAGTAAATAGTTTCCCTTCCTTAAGATTTTATTAACATTTTCCTTTCTCTAGCTTCCCTTATTGTAGGAATACAGAATATAAAATACACATACCATACAAAATATGTTTAGCCAATTATTTACAGGTATGCACCAACCACATTTGGCTAATTTTTTTACATTTTTGTAGAGAGGAGCTTGCTATATTGCTCAGCATTGTCTTGAATTCCTGACCTCAAGTGATCTTCCCACCTTAGGTTCCTAAATTGCTAAGATTACAGTTTCCAAGGAAACTATACTATAAACATTGGTTATCTATGTCACATATAAGTATGAGGAAAAATTATTCTAATAATAAATAAATTTTGAAGCAGGGCTTTGTTCTTCTTCTCTGCTTGTTTTCAGAATTTCGTGTCATCCTAAGATTCTGTCTGGAGATGTGGTTTTCCTCCTGTGAGTGCAAATTACCTTAGACTTCTCCTGGGATTTTTGTACTCATCTTCAATATTCTGATCTTTCCATTTTATTCCTAAAATGCAGATCCAGAAATAATATAATATATTATGACAAAATTATAAGAAATCTGTCAGGTTTATCTTCATGGTACATTTTACCAATGCATGACTTATTCACCAGAGTAGTTGATCCTTGAACAATAAGGGTGTGAACTGCACAGGTCCACCTATACCAGGATGTTTTTCACCCTCTCCCATTCCTCAGAAAGACCAAACTCTCCTTTCCTTTAGTCTATTCAAGGTGAAGAAAATAAGAATGAAGACCTTAATGATGATCCACTTACACTTGAAGAACAGTAAATAGTTTCCCTTCCTTAAGATTTTATTAACATTTTCTTTTCTCTAGCTTCCCTTATTGTAGGAATACAGAATAAAATACACATACCATACAAAATATGCTTAACCAATTATTTACGGTGGTAAGGCTACCTATCAACAGAAGGCTGTAAGTAGTAAAGTTCTAGGGAAGTCAAAAGTTATATGAGAATTTCAACTGCTTAGGTCAAGTTCAGCACCCCAAACCCTTGAGATGTTCAAGGGTCAACTGTGTTCACTTTCCATATTGCAAATCATTAAACAGCACTGATTACCAAGAAACACTTGTTTCCTAATTGAATACATGAGAAAATGATGTCACCCTTACCTATAGAGTCCAAGTTCCTGATGGTCTCCTGCATCACATCTATGTAGAGATTCTTCTGTGAGGGACCTAGTAAAGCCCACTCTTCCCGAGTGAAGTTCACAGCCACATCTTCAAAGGCCACTGAGTCCTGAAACATCCAATATTTACAGAGAAAGAAAGTTAAGACTCACAGCACAGGCTCGGCGCCTGTGGCTAAGGCACGAGCCATGTACACCTAAGGTGGTGGGTTCGAATCCAGCCCAGGCCTGCCAAACAATGATGGCTGCAACCAAAAAATAGCTGGGCGTTGTGGCAGGCACCTGTGGTCCCAGCTACTTGGGATGCTGAGGCAGGAGACTCGCTTGAGCCCAG